TTTCATCCCTTGGGAGATTGTTAATTCCCCATGATGTAAATGTATTCATATGCGATGGAAATGTTTAGGCTGTTTGTCAAAAACTATGACAAATACACAAAATTCTCTGAGCAACCATTAGCCAGTGGTTTCCTTGGTAGAAGGGTTTTTCCTTCTTGAAGCCTGTCAGTGGAACAAATATTGCTGGTACCAAAAATAGAGTTTTCACCCAATCCCTTTTGTATGCCACTGGAGAAACAAAATAAACATATAGGTACTGCCCACTCCATGCGGTTTTTCTTTCTTCCTTACTTTGTGGTTACTTGGGAGATGAAATATACGTTAGACTCTCGCAGTATTTGTCTTCTCGATGTTGAAGGTCTTAATTTGCTTGGTTTGCTTCTATGCGATAATTTTACCAAGTAATCGAATTAACTCACTGATTCAATCATTTTTATCGTCAAATATCCATTTTTCTAGTGAGCAAAGAATGGAAAATCGATATTTTTTATTCGTACCTTGTTATCGGTGGAATGACGTAAACATGTTGGCTAACCTTAGGAATAACAACACTTTGTTTCGTTTCCCCTTCTTTGTCCACGCCAGGTCAAAAGTACAGTAAATAACTGATTCTTTGATCGATCACTCACTCGCTCATGGCGTGCACACGCGTTTATCCCTTTTAGACTAATCAGGTTCACTGCCAAGTTGCCCAGTATTCCTGCACTGAAGAGGCTTGTGGGGAAAGAAAACATGAAAAGATGGCGATAGCTTTGAAAGAAATGGTGTGATTGTTATTCCGGATCTGGTTAGACGATCCCGTTGGTTACATCTAAAGATTCAAATTGCATCGGTGGATCACATTTGTTGTGCCAAAACAGATAGTTTTTATTATATCTCCTATCCTGCAAATCTCCTCCGCACAGTTTATTATTTGAAACAACATCTAGTTCGCAGATTGTCTTTACAAAGGGCAAATAAAAATTCTGTTTTTTCAAGAGGTTCGTAGTCACAGCAATGTAACACAATACATATCACGATATTTATATATGTATCAGTACTCAACTGTCAAAAACGAACCAATGTTTTTGGAAAAGGAAAATTAACCTCATGGGTAAGCTGAGGCCAATTTCGTCTTCGAACCGGGTCTGGGATTCTCATTGATCGTCCGATCCTCTGAGCCACTCGAGATATGTAATAATCGTGAACGAAAATGTTTTTATTTACCACAGCATGGGAATTTTTTTCACGCGACTGGGAAATAATGAATGACTGGAGAAAAACACCTACTCCTGTATACCGTGATATAAAGTTGATCCAGCGGCGAGCTTCACATCTTAACTGCTGTTCTCACGCAGAAACCAGACGANTTCTCACGCAGAAACCAGACGAAACATAAATGTCTGACATCCTCACAGTGAAGCGCTAAACTTCCCCATCTGCACCGTTGACCGCGCATATAACAGTTTTCGTTGAAATGTTATCATGAATAGTTCCAATGACAACTTAGTTCAAGAGTAGGTCAGCTGAACCTTACCTGTGGACAACTTGCTTGCTGTAGTCCCAAACCGCTGGGAGTTGATAGATGTCTCAAATACCGCTGTCCCGCAGTTGGTCTTTTGACAAGCAGAAACATTTTTTCGTAGTCATAAAGCCAGGTTGAGTTCAAGAGCATGAATTTAGTTTGAATCTTAATAATGTGATCAAAGTATGATGCTACCTATATCACGATCGGACTCAGTCTTCAGTGCCCCGCGTTCGATTGACGACATGATCTCCCACCTTTTTTCTCCCATTTTGCGTTTTTGCAAATGTGCTCAAAAGATAATATAGTCACATAACACCACAATTTAGCATAGCTATATAAGTTATATACAATAATGGCTATATCTGTATCATCTCGAACATGATGAAGCTATTGATTGCTTTGCTGACCGTGTCACTTGCCATTCATTGGAACGCTTATAGAAAAACGTTGGAAGAGATTGGATTGAAAACAATTAGCAAACATCCTTCTCACAAGAGGTCACGGGTTTATGCTCATCATTGCCATTGTACAGCAAAATACAGTGACATAAGGATTCACCAGATGAATCAGGTACGCCGAAGCATATATGTGTTGTTTACATCTCGATTGTATTCATGGGCTGGCCATTTTCATATGAACAAACGATTCGTTTTAGATCACGAATCAATCACACTCAGAACGAGAAAAGACACTGGTTGATGCTACTCCACAGTTTTCAAATTAGAAACAGATGGGCATATCGGGGGACTGACTTTAACAGAAACGTGAAAAGCTAAACGAATGGAAAATTGGTGTTCTTCAACTGTTGTGAAAATTTCATTGAGTTGCCTGATCTATCGGACGTTCCAGTTATACTCAGCATAATCGTATCGGGGATCATTATCTCGCGCAGTGTTATTTGTATGGGAAGACTGAGTAATGTTGACGTTATGAATACTGCCCCGGTCACAATGCTAAAGGTATTCTATTTGTATGCCTTGAAGAATTCAAAATAATGTTACTAGTTTCTCGATACAATCGGTACAAATTTCGAGCCGGAACTTATGAACTATTGGTTAGCATCCAGCTTTTACTACTCAAATATTAGGCGTTTCGTTTGGAATAGCTACTATGAAAACATGATTAATACCATGGTCCGCAAAGTAACTGCCTTTACGAAAGTCTGCCAGCCGATGTTAGCACTAAAATCAGGCAGCACAATATTAGTGGTAATGTCCATCATCGTCGGTGTATAACATGGCTATCTAGGAAATTAATGTAGAAACATGCACATCGATGGCTGTCTGAAATGACCAAATTAATGGCCCCAAATTAATGTAGATCAAAACAACATTCACTCGGTGAACTATTAAGGAATATTTGAAAAACGCCTACCTTTTACCACCTTACGAACATGTACTGGATACTTGGGACCATCGTAGAATTGGTAATACATGATCTTCGAATTATATGAAAAGACCTCTTTCTCGGTTGCAAACAGGATGGCAGGAGCAGAGTTTCCATTGGTTTTAGAAAGGCTATTCTCCAGTTAAGCGAAATGAAACCCCTCCAATCCAAGTAATTGGTGAACCACTTCCGGCTAGCAGTTTGGAAAAATATTAAATTAAACAAAAGATATTCAGGAAGAAGAACAGACCGAAGACAATCACATCAGATTGAAACGAGATTATAAACATAATTTCTGTTGGACAGATCTGATTCCTGTCAAAATGTACAGTTAAAAGACTCCAGTGCTCATCAGTGCTTATGGGTTAAGCCGGCAGTATTGTCTTATTGAATGATAACCTCCATTTCTCCAGAACGATCCTAGCTCCTGATCCCTTTAACTGTGGTTGTTTCTCTTCGGATGTTTCCAAATCCGTTTCCAACTTCAACAACTTTGTTCATCAAGGTATAAATCCTTTCATTCCGCACTTTTCCAAACCCGGCAAACCCAAATACCCCGAGTGGTTTAACCACATACGTGACCGTGCTGTACGCCTTAAACGCTAGACCTAGCGCCATTGATGCCACTCACCCACTCCCAACTCCCACACAATCTTCGTGCAAGCCGAAGACAGATGTTGAACAACCATTCGGACAACTAAAGAACGCTCCATGATTTTTCCCACTGCCAAACGCGGTGATCATTCTGACCCCAGCAATAACCGACCCATTTCACTAACATCTGTCCTTTGAAACTGTCATCTGTGACCATTGTTGTGTTCGGTCGTAAGTATGACACGGGCGACTTTTGCTTAATCCCCAACAATAACGCGGAGAGAGGACACAGCTGGAGGCAAAGTCAGTGTGTATTCCTGCAGTTAGGTTTCCATACGCAGATATATAGCACAATCACATATACGAGGACTGCCCCAGACGCCCCAGTCAAATGGCGGACTTGACATATCGACTGATCGATCCTATCGATCCAATTGGACTCGGCCTACCTGGAGTGTTACGAGCGTACGTATGATCTGACTCGGATGCGTGCGTAATCTGACGGGCTATTTGAACTCCGTCCTAACACATCCCCCTTTTGAGCTCGACGAGTTGTTGTAGGACCGTAATCTCGGGTTTATTTGGAACGTTACTGTTGCTTTTAGCCTGTGATCCTTCCGTTATCGAGGTTGCGGGGTTTCTGCTGGCTTCTTTGAGGATGCTGGTCTTTGTGGCTCATGGCCAGGGACTAGCATGGTCAATGTGTTCAATAATTTTTCCAACGACAATTTTGGTTCAGGGTCCGATTTATCATTGCAGGTTGTCGGTTTATAATGGTTGACGTGCCGCACCCACACTTCAGAGCCAACCACGATTTCCTAGATTACTTTTCCCGGGTGTTAATGTAGGCGACCAAGTGTCCATCTTTATTCATTATTCCGATAGTCCCTCGCCAAAACTCTCTGGCCCCACTCAAACGATTGGTTCTGCGTACCATGGCGGTGGTTGAACTGTAGCTCCATTGCTGTAGAGCGAGCAATTTCCAAAGGTTTGTTGCTCTGTCGCTCTGGGAGGATTATGTCGAATAGTGTACGAATTTTCGTTCCAGACATTGCCTCGGCCGGAGATGCACCCTTCGGCACTTCTCCCGTGGTAACCTCCCCTTTGAACTTCTGAAGTGCTCACTTTAAGGTGACCAAGAAGCGTTTGGCTTGCCCGTTTGACTTTGGGTGGTAAGGTGGCGCAAGTTCCACCTAAGTTGACACACCTTGACGGACGCTGTTCAGATGCACATCCAGGAGATGGAGCTCTTCAAGCTAGTCCAGTTCCATCAAATTCAAATAGGACCTGTTAGCAAGGTAGCACGTCTTTCTTATATGCATGCCGCTGAACACAAGTTCACCAATGAGAAGTAGTCATCCGCCAGGTACTTCCGTGTTGATCAGATTAAATGAGGGTCGCCCAAGAGCGTGCCAAGTTCGGTTTGAGATCAAGGTTTTGTCAGAAGCGGTCTCTACCTGCAGACAAACTGACTCACCATTGATGCGGACAGTGAGATCTTTGCGCCTTTTCTTCATTTCAGGTTCCACTGCAAACAGGATCGATTGAATTTTGGGTTGAAACTTGGTCGACGATGATCTGAATCGTCTTGGTTTGTGAAGTCCCCTTTGACGTAAGGGGGTGTTTGGTGTACCAGTGGTCTTCTTCGTGGCACTTTTGAGACAAGTGTTTCTTGAAGGGACAATAGCGAGCACAATGCATTTTCAACATACTGTAGGGGTCTCCTGGTAGCGGCTTCTTGCTGCTTTCGGGTAGACATGGACCGTGGCTTTGTAACAGCATGGACACTGGATGAGGATGGAGCCACGCCGCATTGCTCAACGATGGCTGAGTCTTGCTTCAAGTTCTCGAGTCGTTGGAATTCGTCTTTTAATGTCCGCAAATTGATGTTTCGGTCTTGTTCGATGCGATTGAGTAAGCGAGTGCGGTTTTCTGTGTCGCGGGGCGACTGAAGTGCGCACACAAATATCAGGCATTTGAATTGGTCGTCAGTCATTGAGTGCAACTTCAAGAACTCCTGAGCTGCAGCCAGTATGGCTTCCGATAGCGTCACCCCACCGGTGACCTGTTGGCTTTGTCTCACAATCCTGGTCAGCTTCACTCGATAGCCACGGAGAAACACATTTGGTCCCGCTTGAGATTTCCGATATCTTCGACCAAGTTTGGCATGAAGGTCTACCGGTGAAACTACCCATGTTTGGGTTGCATCTGGCGCTCGTAGCCTGGACATCAAGTTTCCCCAGAAACCGAACCATCTCCGTCCGAGTAGATCGAGTTCTATCTCACCCATTCCCTGTGAATGCTGGTGTTCCAAAAGGTTCTGTACGTTCGCCAACCTTCTTGTTTCTATTTATCTATAATCTGCTTTTCAACCTGTCCACCCGATCAGTTCGTTTACCGATGACGCCATCCTCCACTGCTCTCTCTCTTACCACACTAATCGCCGTGCCCAAACAAACATCGATCGTGACCGCAGTGCAGTGAATGTGTCACTGGACTACGATCCTAAACACCTCCTGGGGCATTGCAAATTGCTTTTTTCAACAGTTCTAAAATCTCTCTATCTTCTTTTTGAACACTTTTCATTCTCCCAACTGTATTCCATAGACTCTGTTTCCCTTCTTGGACTGTCCATAGCTTCTTCTTTATGCTGGTCTCTTTTTAAAGTTTAGCTTGCTCCTCGTGCTGCGCGAAAGGTTCGCTTTTATTTCTCTCCAGACTTGTTTCACCCCATCACATTTCCGATTTGCAAAGCTCAAATTCGCACAGCTCGTGTATACGGCAGTAACGTAGGGAGTTGGGTTTCGTTGTCTTCTCTTCCCCTTCTTGATTGTGTTGAACTAAAGGCCATCCAGCTAGTCAATTATCCTTCCCTAACGTCCAGTCTAAAGTCACTAACCCATTATCGGGCAGTTGCTTCCGTGTCCGTGCTCTACCGTTACTACTTCATGCAACTTTTACCCGCTCATCCTGTACACAGGCATCTCATCATTCTTATAAGGTTTCAGTTCCCAAATGTCGTACTTTTGCTCCAATCTTCGTTTCTTCCTTTAATTGCCTTCTATGTTTTGTCTTCCTCCCAACTTACAACCTTGAACCCTTTAAACGTATAATCAAAAAAATTTGATCTTACTTGAATGTTCCCCTACTCTTCATGTTGCAGTATGTTATTTGCCTGTGGGGATTTCCCATTTTACTGTAATTCGAATTATGTGCAGTTAAAGTAGCTTAATGTATTTTTGTTTAACTTGGCTGATCTTAGACAGTTACAGATGGTCGCTGGGTGGGAGGGAATTCCAACTTTTACTTGGTAAAATATTTCCCCGAGAAAATAAACTAGTATTTTTAACATGGTCACGTTTCGATGGAAGTAATCATCGTAGACTAAAAATAGCTTATACTTTAAAGGCGAATGGCAGGAAGAATGGCCGATTATCTCTGTGGCTTGACAGGGGCCCGTAGTGTAAACCTCTGGAATTGTAGATAAACAAAAGTGAAACTAACTTAGTACCCAGGAACCGCAAACAAAACATTATGCATCATGTAACGAACATTTGTGTTGGAAATCGCAACGCAATCCATCATGTATTGGCTAACCAGAGAGCCCCGTGTCCGGTTGACTGTTAACATAAACAGTCCCCATAAGTTCCCACCCCAACAGCCGGTTTGTCACATGCGAAAAAAACGTGTCAGTTTTCGGTAAACTGTTGGTTTCATACACGGTCCAACATGCCGTTGTAATCACAATCTCTTTCGATAAAAAACATAAACGGTGCACGCGCGGGGTCCCGTTTGAAACCATATTGACTCAAAGAGAAAGAATATGACGTTACATTCATCACACCGGTAGGTAGGCACACGAAATCCAGATCAACGTTTCATTGAGCAACATAAATCAGCAGCTGTTGGTATCCAGTCCCCGTAAACCGGTCCTCGATTGAAACCTTTCAACGCATTCGTAGTTTGGGGAACAATGTAGTTAAGTGCCATAAACCGTACAACATCATCTCATTATCTCTGCTCTGGAGATTCCAGGTTAATTTTTAAATACATATTTGTAGGAGTAAGTGACAAGCAACCTAAGAATCGCCTGCCTGTATTCCATTCACCATCATTAACCATGCGTTTTCGTGCAGTGGTTTAGGTTGCTGGTTTTGGCCATCCATTTGAGTCAACGGGTAGAGCAAAGATCAAAACACTGAAAGTAGCATCGGGGTAAAAACTAAAAAGTCAGGTAGACTAAGTTCACAAGTAGAGTGGGTAACTTTACCTTCGGTGAAGTTTGATGCACACGCTAATGTTGAAAGTATCTTTATTTCGCGTTAGTCAAAATTACTGGTGCTAGTTGAAATTGAGTCAAAGCGAAGAATTCGTATTAGCAATTTTTTATCACACATGAGTAACACTTAATGGGAAGAAATGCAGATCGTGGACATGCCCCATATTCGTCTGAACTGAACCTAATCATTTCTCATTGTGATTTCTTTGGCAAAGCGGTCAAGACATCATTTATTTGATTTGTAAGGGTAAACACTTCACAATCCGATTACGAAACCGGTACTCAAATTTCACAAATCTTAAAATAAATCAACGAATGGAATATTAGTTTGTTGAAATACTAAACAAATTGTTTCATTACATTCGTTGAAAAATGAGGACTGAAGAGATTGCATAAAAATTCACAGAAAACCTTTCCAAATGAGATCTGTTGCATGTCGAATAAAATCAATTCACTCGCATTATCACTAGGCATTGAATATATGTTCGAAACAAGAGTGAAAAAAGACATCGCGAGATATTGGTGATGTTCGGTGTGGGTTTCACTCCTTAGTAGATAGGTAATTCCCCACTTTTTGAATGCATTTGAATGCGGTGGAAATGTTTGCGATAACCGAAAAAAGCACTGGACAGCTGCCTCGTCCTGTTTCGGGCAGCAGTGCATACTTTTGTGCCCCTGTCAGGATTGAAACCGCAAACATTTGGGTCGGGACTTCAAACCCTTACCCCTGAGCTACACGGTCGACGGTCATCACCTTGTGAGAATGGCCCAATCAACATTGCCTGTGAAAAACCGAATGGGCTAATCCAAACGTTGACCATTTAAAATGTTAACATTTTGTATAATCTCCTCAATCACTGACATAAAACAAACAAGCACATTTGGATTAGTACATCCTAGTGAACGGAGATGTACAGTTTGGGAGGGGCTATCAGAATTAAAAACAACAAGTCTACTCCACAGCAGGTGAACTGATTGGGTTCGCAAATTTTGGGTGCACAGAACGGGATGATGCAATCTGATTAGCAACATCTCACTTATTTCCAACAGTTTTGCTTTGCAGTTAAGTAACCACGGTTTGAAAGAGGAAGCGGGATCAATTATATTTGGTTGACATGAGACGTTTTGCAATTGATGACCCCAGGTTACGTGTGACCGCCTGATTACTGAGTATGGGTTGTATCATCGACTTCACGAACCACTTTGGAATGTTTTCGGCCATCCGCTGTGATAATTGTCGGTTGGTTCTGCCTATGTATGCCTAACCGCAACTGCAGTTGAAGTCGTATACAGTGTGTGAGACAGAACTAGATTGCTAACCGTGTACACGTTTGTCCAAATTGATTCCACGGGTAGAGGAAATAAATTAATGTTGAGCAGGTGGGAATGCGCGGTTCAGTGTTGAATTTACATTTTTGCGCACATCGTTCAGAAGGTGATCAACCTTAAAGGATAGTTTGATGTAAACGGCTTTCTGGGGGAATGGTTGGGATGTTTTGTTCGGTCTTGGTGCGATCGATAAAGGGGACTCTGTGTTTCAAACTATATACTTCATCATTCCTCAGTCATTATCCACGGTAATTCAACAACCTTGTCATTGTGCAACCCACACTCTCGAAAATGTCTGACTATTTATTAATTTTTAAGGCTATTTCTTGTATCTACTAGTAATATTTTGCAATCGTGTGCACTATTCGTTAGAAGTATCAAAAGGCGTATTTTATTAAAAGAAAACAGATATCGATCTCATTTCACAGCCTAGCCAAAACTTGACATGACATAACTCTTTATCGAGCAAATCCGTTCCAAAAACTGCCAACCACGAAAACTGCGTGGCTGATATCCTGACTTTCACCGTATTTGGCACACAACTCTACTGCTTTCAGGTGAAAGGATTCATCAATGGACTCCAAGTGTCAGACAGCGGTAGAGTTAATAATAGAATATGGATTAATCAATACGGCTTTGTAAAAACCAAGGGGTTTCGTTCCTATTTCTGACGCAATATTTAGCAGTCGTATCTGATTGTAATCAGTGATTTGTCACACGTATTTTGGGAACGTTTCGGACGATTGCCACCGAGTTCATCAGTCACATATTTTTAGTGGATCATAGGTTTACTGGAGGTAGCGCTAATTTCTTTCTTCATCGACTGATTGAATCAGCTGTCTTCTCAATATCAATCGTTATCGATGGGAGTATGAATGCGATTGATACAGGCAAACCAACTTTGATATAGTTTACCCTGATTGAAAGCTTAGGCTTTCCCATTGCAGTCCAAATTATTTTCAAGTATTTTGATTTTGACCTAATTTAAATCATAAGTGCTTTCCCACTTTACCCCAATCTCGTCAAATTATCCGGATTCTATCAGTGCAGCATTTTGAACCAAGAAACTGTCAGGTCAAGGTACTGGGAGTACTTGAACGACAGAATTTTTGGATTTATGTTCGACAGCGACAACGAAGTAGAAGAAGAAGAAGACTGTCTTTTTACTTNATATACAAATGTCCAGTTAACTTTCAGGAAGGGTAGTTCTTTGGTCTCAGTGGGTCCCCATGGGATTGTTTTGCACTTACTCTGCAATAACGGTTGAAACTAGCAGTTACGTTCAACCAAAGGTGTCCATTCATTTTACTTCGCCTGTTGAAAACTAATGGCCGAAAACTACCCCCGATCGCCTCTAGACCAGTGCTACCACTAAATATTAAAGACGGGATAGCAGTAGAGCTGACCGCATTTAGCAATCACCTATTCCGTGAGTTTCCCGGATCAAGATAGGTAGAGAGAACCACTAATTGCCTGAATCATCACAACCGATAGCACCACCCCAAATGGGCTGGTAACGTCCGAGCTGGGAGCGGGGCAACCACGGTTGATGTCCATACCGTCCAAATAAATCACTCGGCTCATCTGACTGCATCATCCCGATTATTTATTACCAACAGCGG